CGGTAGAGGACCGTGTACAGAGCTTCTTCGTACAGCATCTCGACCTGCGGCAGAAATGGGGCCGCTCTGGCCCTCGCCCAGGCACTTGGGGTCGCGCTGACCGCTTCCAGTGTGCCCCCATTGCAGCCACCCATCCGCCTCCCTCCAGCCCCGTCCTAGAACCTCCTCCTGGGTCAGGGGTCTCAGGCCACGGTTGGAGTCTACAGGCTCCGCGGGGGCTGGAGCGCCACTGCGCAGGAGGACCTGTGGGGACAGGGGTAAGTCTGGGTGGGGCCAGGGTCTGGACAGGGATATTCCCAGAGGAGGGCAGGGACTTCCTCACCTCAGGGCGCGGCAGGCCCTGCCGGGCCTCCCCCTTCTTCAGGAGGAGGCGCATCTGGGTAAAGAACTCCACACCATCCCCAGGTTTCCTGGAAGAAGGGCCTGGTCAGCGAGGGCCGCCCTGGCCTACGTGAGCACCGGGAGGCTCAGGCTTGCTACTCCCTCCCAGCCCGGCACACACCAGGCACCCGTGCCCGCCTCTGGCGTGTCAGCGTTGCTGTCCGGTTCCTGTTCTGTCCGGCGGCGGAAGGACGGGCAGACCTGTACCTGCCTGAGCACACTGCTCTTGATTTCCAATAGAGTGGACATGGTGGCCACCTGGGGGGAGAACACACGTGCGCCCAATGCTGGGGTCCACGGGACAGCCCCCTGCGGAGTGCCCGGTTCAGTACCCCGGAAGGGGGTGGGGGACGTCTGCTGAGAGGACACAGATGCTGTGCCCCTGTGTCCACTCTGGGGCTAGGGCAGGCGCTGGGGACCCGTGGCCTCCACGCAGGAGGCTCCAGGATCCCCACGTGTTAATCACGGCAGTGTCCCATTTAGGGAGGCCCCAGAGCCCAAGTTGGAGATGCACGGGCTGGCAGCAACGATTTCCTGAACCTGCAGCTGCCTCGGGAGCAGGTCTGCCTCCTGCCGGAGCAGCCCCTCGTCTGCTCGGCGAAGGCCTGCAGCCAGCCGCCAGCCCTGGTGGGCCTCGCTGGACACAGGGAGGACGCCCGTCAGCTCCACGCAGGCCTGCTTTGGCAGAGCTGTGCCCTCTCCCACAGGGGCCGGCTCCACGGGGAAGGACAGCAGTGGACGCTCCTTGGCAGCACCCCAAGGTCTCCCTGGGAGCCCCAGGTCACACAGCAGCCTGTTCCTCCACCATGCGACGACCGCCCTCTGCTGGCCTGCAGGTGACAGGACACTGTCTAGTCCACCCCAACACACTGCCCCTGACATGATGGTCCATCCAGGACACTGCCCCCACCACCCCTGGCCTCTGCACCCACTGTGACCACACAATGCCCCGTGCATCTGAAGACACTGCCTGGCCCCTGCACCTACGGTCTGGCCCCCAGGGTCAGCAGAGGGGAGGAGCTCTCGGCTCCAGAGCCTGGCAGGGCAGTGGACTAGGGCCAGCTAGGCTGGATTTTAGACTGCTGGTAGCAGGCACTTCTTTGGGCTACCTATTGAACCAGTTCCCTTTCGTTGGTGGCCCGGGACCACGAGACCTCTGCAGTGCCTCTCCTGGACCCTGTGTGCCCACCCCATGGCGGAGAACCCCCACAGCCTGGGGAAGGGGGCACAGTGCTTCCGGGAGCTGTTGTGGCTCCCTCCACAGGTCTCAAGTTCCCTATCTGTCTGAGGCTGAGCGCAGGAGCACCACCCCATCCTGGAGCCAGCAGAACCACCGCTGCCTGAGCTGTTGCCAGGGCAACCGCCAGCCGCCCGGCATCCGTGTGTGGGGCTGAGGGGCTCTGACGAACGTGACGCAGGAGCTGAGTGGCCAGGGCTGCCTGGCGGGGGGCCCCCGTACCTGCAGCGGAAAGGGAGGCTAGCACCCCACCTACATGCGCCACAGGGCACCCGGCAGGGCAGGGCTCCAGCACCTGGAGCGGTGCTGGGCTCAGGGGATGCCCTGCACTGAGTCAGGTCTCCCGGCTCTAACGTCCAGGGCTAAATGCACGAGTCCCAGGGTCTGCGGGCAGCTCCTGCCCCATCGCCAGCCAGATGAGGCCACAGCTGTGGGCTGCCCAGGTGTCGGGAGAGGTGGCTCTCACACCCCATGCCCAAAGACCACCCTCTGCTTCCCCTGGACACTCAGGCTGCCCTGGCAGCCCCCTCCCTCACTGGTCCGTGGGGCCACCTCCTGCTGCTGGTCTGGCCAGTAAGCATTCTTGGTGGCCACTGCTGGGCAGAGGGTAGGCGAGCGCTGTGACCACAGCCCTGTATCTGGCCACGGGGACCGCGGTCGGTCACAGCCCCCACAGTTCCCGTGAGCAAAGAGGCTGCTGGAGCTGCAGCCGGGCTGGCCCCAGGGTGGACCGGGATGACGTCCCGGGAACTTGCTGAGAGCCGGGATCTGAACCAGGGCACTCAGCGCTGGCTGTCGGGCCACGCCCGGGTCGGGGCTGACGGGGCTGCTCGGCCACCTGCTGCGCTCCCTGCGAGGGGCCCGGGCATCTGCATTTTACCCAGCTGCTGCGCTACCCGCATGACCGTGGGAGATGCGGCCCCTCCCGGGGAAAGGCAAGCGGCGTCGAAAGCCGAGCCGCTGCGTGATTTTTTCACGCCCCTCCCGTGAAGGCTGCGCGCGAGCGAGGGAGGGACCCTCGTTCCAGCGGGTTTCGGTCGGCATGGGGGGGTCCTGGGAAGAACCGGGGTCTGGGGGCGCCCTCTTCCGCTCCCCCCGCCCTCTGGCCCGGGGGACCCCGCGCCCACCCCGAGCACGCAGGGCCAGGGGCGAGTCCTTGCGACCCTCCCGCGCCCCCAGGGTCCCCCACGAGCGCGGCGCAGTGACAGGGTCTGAAGCGGCGTCCTTCCGTAGGTCCGTCGGTCCGGGAGGGGTGCTGGGCCGAGCCCCGACGGCACCCGCCGCACTCACCGTGGGGCGCGGGGTCCTGCGGCGCGAGCTCGGGGGCGCTGGCACCGTGACCGCTCTCCGCCGCGCGCACCGGGGACTGAGCCGGGCGCAGGGCGCAGGGCCGGGGGCGGGGGCTGCGGGCCGGGGGCGGGGCCTGGCCGCGGGGGCGGGGCCAGGGCTGCAGTCCGGGGGCGGGGCCGGAGCTGAGGGCGGGGCCAGCAGGTTCCACCTGGGGGGCTGTCGGTGGGGTCTTCTTCCCCGGCCCCAGGAAGCCGGCGTTGCCCACCCTCCCGTAGACTTTGCTCGAAGGGTCGCACGGCCTTCTCTGGACCCACCCTCCCAGCCCCCCGGCTGTCCGGGCGGGCCTGGGTCTGAGATCTCGCTTTGGGGGCACAGCAGGTCCTGCGAGAAGGGGCCCACGGACCCCCTGCGCAATCCTGGCTCTGGCTAGTCCCCACCCCAGCCCGTGGGGTCCTGCCTGCGGGGCGCTGCCCACCCCTGGGGCGTTAGGGCAGCGGTCTGAGCACCCTGGGGCCCGCGCAGGAACCGCCCCGCCCGGCTGGGTCTCAGCAGGCATCAGTAGACACCTGTGTGTGGTTGGACTTTTCACCCCCAAGGGTCCAGCCTGCTGCAGGGAGGGCTGCACCCCTGCCCTGGTACCTGTGGCATGGAGGGGCGGCGAGGACGGCTGGACCCCAGCTCTGCACCTGGCGGCAGCCCAGCGGCTGTCCCCGTTTGCGGGTAGGGTAGACGCTGCCTGCAGGGACTGTTGTGGACTCACATTCGGACACGGCCTGCACCCTGGGTGGGGAGAGGCAAGGCCCTACACCCCAGGGCTCCCCGCAAAGTCAAAGGAGCGATGAGGGGGCTGGACACTTGGGGGGCCGGAGCGGGCAATGCCCAGCCCTGCCCCCTCCCCACTTTCCTCTGTGGGGGAGGGGCACTGCGGGGTCTTGCGTCAGGTTCTGACAACCTGTGGGAACACAGGGGCCTGGTTGCCATGGTGATGGTGATGGCTTTGGGGTGCAGGGATGAGGCTGCGGGCTGTAAACAGGAAATCAGGAGGGGCCGGTGAGGGAGGCTGCTGGCCCCCAGCCCCCGCACAGCCTGGGTCCCTGAGACCGCTGTGTGGGGGTGGCTCCTCCAGAGACCAGGGGAAGGTGGGGACAAGCAGACAGGCCTAGGACAGAGCAGAGCCTGGGCTCTAGGCAGCCCCCCAAGGGGAGACTCAGGCCAGAGACAGCCCTGGGTGGGTGGGTGGGGGGGAAGCCCGATCCTGTGCCCCAGGGGCTGTCAGGGAGCCAGGCCTGGACACAGGGGTGCCCTGGGCGGTGTTCCTGCTGTGTGTATGCTTTCGCTGAGAAACAGGGATCACCCCCCCTCCCCTGCCGCTCCAAGACCTGCCAGTCACATCCCAGACCATGGTCACACCTGAGACAGCGCCGGGCCCAGCCATGCCAGCGTTGGAGGACGTCAGGGTCTGATGGGGACAGACCCTGGAAACCATCATTCCTAGGACCCCTCCTTGCTAGAGCTGGCTCAAACCGGTTCGAGCAGGTCCAAGTCAGTGCTGGGCCTTCCAACCTGGCAACATGTCGTCATGGCAACTCAAGCTGGAGGCTTCCCACAGCTGCCCTGATGCTGATGGGAGGGACCTGGGGCTGCATGCAGGGCCCGGCAGCCCGAGGTGGGCAGGCTGGTGGCTCAGGAGAGGGTCCTCCAGTGCCAGGCCAGGTGGCCAGCCGGCAACCTCCCCTCCGCTGTCCAGTCGGGAGCTGCCTGCCTGCCCCAGTGGCCTGCGGACATTGGACAGGCCATGGGGCCTTGCCCGGCCGAAGCTCGGCTCAGTGGGGATATTCCGTCAGCAGGGTCCGACCCGTTAGTCCTCAACTCCGAGCAGCCCACCACGGCGCAGGCGGCTAGTGAGGGCCTAGCCACACCCCCAGCCTCAGCCACACCCGACCATGGCTCCCCGCTGCCAGCATCTGCCAGGGATGGGGGGCACACGGCTGCATCAAGTGCTTACCGTGCCCCTCACGGTTGGCCCGACAGTCTCACAGGAAGGGTCAGGCCGGGCTCCTCTCCGCACTCGGACAGGAACGTGACAGGAGCGTCATAGAAACAGTTTATTGACTAACAGCGACACAGACGACACGCCCATGGACACGAGGAAAGTGGTGCGTGGGGACGCCGCCGGCCGGGCCAGCTGGAGGCTGCGGAGCGCGAGCGTGGGCATGCCTGCATCCGAGAGCGGGGGGCTAGCGCCTAGGGGACTGACCCGAGTATAAAAGTTTATAATTTTACAGCAGTTGAAATACTGACATCAATATTAAAATAAAAGCGAGTTTTACATAACAATCAAAAATACAAAAGACGGGAGGAAGAGACCCTGTATGAAACGGGGGCTGCCGGCGACGGAGCACTGGGTGCCAGTGGCGGCAATGGACATGGCGCCCACCCACCCTCCCCTAGGTGACTAGCGCTGTACGGAGCAACCTCAGATTTGCAAAGTGTTGTAAACAAGTTCTTGCCAAACCAATCCCTTCCTTCTCCTTAATCCGGGGCTGTTTATGAGGGTGCAAACTTCTTGGCCTGTGCTCGAACCCTCTTCTCATACTCCACTCTGTTTTGGCTGAGGAGGTCAAGAAAGATACGGGTGAGCAGGGCCAGGCCGGGCGGCCACATGGTCACTGCACCGTCCCCCGGGATGGGGGCAATTGGGGCAGGCGCCTTTCTCCACAGCCCCTGGGGTCTGGGCGCACACCTTGGGGCCGCTGTGAGTTGTATCCACAGACGCCAGCCCCGCTCCCCAGGGCAGGGCTGTGGGGTGAGGTGGCAGCTCAGCAGCTAGCCACACCATCAGGGGTGCAGAGCATGCCCAGGGTGACCCGGGGGGTCCGGGGCCACCACAGCCAGCCCGGCCAGCCACAGGTTGGCAGCTGCTGTTCACCTCCTCGGAATGGACAAGGACAGATGCGACCAACGGCCAGACAGCCCAGGGCCTTCAGGACACGGGTTAACCCTTTCCAACAAGCTACACGGAGGAGGTGACACGTGCCACGGGCAAACTTGTCGAGTAGTGAGCACACAGCGGGCAGCATGGCCAGCTGGTGAGCCGCAGCCGCAGAGGCTTCTGGAAAGCACTGTGGCAGGCCTCACTGCACGTCAGCCCAGCAAGCTGCCGGGTGATCTGGCCTCAGCTAAAAGAGGGCACCAGGCCAGCACCTGGGCAGAAGGGCCTCCCACCAGGAGGTGCAGCCCCAGCCTTCCCCATGGACCAGCTCCAACTGGAGACACCCCGAGTGTCGGGCACAAGGCAGGTGCGCCTGTCGCCCTGGGCCAGCCCCCTCCTCCAGCACCCACACCTCGACCCGGCCCTGGTGGCCAGGAGTGGCTGCCCGACCACCCCACCCCAGGGCCAGGCCCTGCACAGGCATCCCCACCCCGCACGCCTCCGCTCACCAGTAAATCGTGTAGGCCTCTGCTTGGGCTGGGTCCTGGATATTTGGTTCATTTAGCAGCTCCTGTATTCCTAACAAGATCTGCGAGGGAGACAGACACGGCAGGGTCAGGGGCTCTGGGGGCAGGCGGGGGACGCCCTGTGGCCAGGGTCACCTACCTGTTTGATTGTGATAGCCGGCCTCCAGTCCTTGTCCTCCTCCAGGATGGACAGGCACACCGTGCCCGAGGGGTACACGTTAGGGTGGAACAGCGGCGGCTCGAATTTACCTGGCCATGGGAGAAAGACGGCACTGCAGAGGTGGCCGCCTGCCTGGGCACGGGCGCACACCGAAGCCGCCGGGCCTCCAGCCAACTTCCCACAGAACCCACGAGCACGGCTCAACAGCCCAGGAACGCGGCCAGGAGGCAGGCCAGAGCCAGAGGCCAGGTCTCCCACCTCGGCAGCCGGCCACCTTGCATCCAGGCCCCGCCCGTTCCTCGCGGCCACACAGCTGTCCCGATGACACGCTGTCCAAGCTCGGGCAGGTGGATCCTGGGGGAGCCAGGCTGAAGCTCGGCACTCCTTAAGCAGCACCCGCTCAGAACGTGCCACACGACACGCCCTCCACACGCAGCCAGCGCTGCTCTAGTCCCTGCTCCTGGTCCTCTGGCTCCAGCACGGCATGGAAGGTGAGCAGTCACCTCCCGCAGGTGCCCCACCCCCACAGCCCTGTGGCCACACACACAGCGGCTTAGCCCAGGGCACGCCCTCCCAAGGGACCTCGACCTGCGTGAACCCAAGGTGGCACCTACTGCCAGAAGGCACCTCCCGCCCGGGGCTCACGGAGCAGCTGCTCCCTGCCCTCCCCACCGCCCCCAGCAACCACAGGCCTCAGACAGCCCAGGAGCTGCCCCCACTCCCCGCCCGGGAGAGCCTAACCACCCACTCACATTTCGGGGGCGAGGAGGGGTAGTCGTCCTTGAAGAGCATCCGCAGCTTGAACAGGCCTCCCTCCCACGGAGTCTGTGGGACAAGAGTGTCCGGTGGCTGAGGCCATGGCCCCACTAGGAGGACTGTACCATGGGGCAGGGTGCAGTGAGCCCCCCAAAGAGAAGGGCAGGGCAGAACAGGGGTGAGTGTAGACAGCCCCCAGGAGGGGCAGGCAGGGCTGCAGGGTCCACCACTCAGAGGCAGCGAAGGTTGCACAGAGCCAAACAAACTCAGCCTGCAGCCCCCAGCCCCTGGAGGTGGAGCTGTCCTGGGTCCCCCGTTCTCCACCCCCAGGGCCTCAGGCAGAAGAGCCCAAACCCAGTCCAACAGCCAAAGGCCAGTCCTGTGTGAGGGAGGAGGCGCCATCACCACCCAGCACAAACCCCAGACAAGCAGCTCCGCATGGGCGAAGTGGTTGGGCACCTGGTCCCTGCCACCCGACAGGCCTGGGCTGGCACTTGGGGAGGAGACAGGAAGCCGTCTGTGCACAGCTCCCCCCGCCCCAGCCCAACTGTCAAGACCCAGGCAGCTCAGGCCTCCCCGGAGGGCCATGCCGGCCCAGCACAGCCCGAGGAGCGGACTGCCAGCACTAGGAAGTGCCCCCTGCCCCCAGGAGAGGCAGCAAGGGCTCCCTCCCCAGCTGACCGTGGCCTGGCCCCCAGCTGGCCTGCAGGCGTGGAGGACGTGCCCACTTACCCCCTTCTTCCCGGGGATGGCGCACTCCCAGTTCATGAGGTTCATGGTGCCGTCGGGGTTCTTGGTCGGGACGGCCACAAAACCCTGGCAAGGGGACAGGTGACAGAGGGGTGTGAGCCACCTGTGCCCGCTGCAGCCACAGCCCCTGCCCGCCCAGCCAACCCAGGGCGAGCTCTCCTTACAAAGGGGTGGTCTTTCCTCCACGCCTTCCTCTCCTGGGCAAGTCTGCTGAGGGCAATGCCTGACATGGTCCAAAACCTGGAGCACACGGGGCGGTGAGGACAGGCTCGCCGGGCTCCTCAGGAGCTCCCAGGGCACACGGGCTGCCAGGACCCCAGGTGAGAAGCAAGGCCTGGGCATAGTCCACACCCGGCCTGCCATCCCTCCCGGGCACGGGGTCGTGTCCACACCCGGCCTGCCATCCCTCCTGGGCACGGGGTCGTGTCCACGCTCGACCTGCCATCCCTCCCGGGCACGGGGTCGTGTCCACGCTCGACCTGCCATCCCTCCCGGGCACGGGGTCGTGTCCACACCCGGCCTGCCATCCCTCCCCGGCACGGGGTCGTGTCCACGCCTGGCCCTCCATCCCCGTCCGTCCCCTCCGTCCCGTCCTCGCTACTCCCCGGCGTCCCGCAACAGGCCTGCTGACCGGCTCACCGGGCCGGCCACCCTGCACAGACGCTCGGCCTGCCCCGCAGGGACGAGGTGGCGACGGGGCCCAAGTCCTCCCGGGCCGCGGGCCCAGCCGCCCCGAGCGGCTCCGGCGCCCACACAGCCGGCCCCGGGCCCAACCCGCTCCTGGCCCGGCCCGCTCGGGCCCCGCAACCGGCCGCCGTGACCCCGCGCAGGCCGCGCGCCGCCCGCAAGGCCGCGCCGCGCCGCCGGCCCCCGCCCCGGGCCCGGGCCGCCCCCCGGCCGTCGCCCCGCTCACCTCGGGCGGCCGCGGCCCGGCGAGCGAGGCGGACAAGCGGGGGCCGAGCGGCGGCGGCGGCGCGTCCCTTTGTCTCGGGACTTCCCTCCGGAGCCCGCTCCGCGCGCAGCCCCGAGCGCCGAGGACCCCGGCGCGGGCGGGGCGGCGGGGCGGGGCCTGGCGCGGGGCTGCCCCCGGCGCGCCTGCGCCGCGCGCGGCCGCCCCCGGGACCCGCCGCCCCGCCGGCCGCGCCGCCCCGCTCAGCCAGCCGCCCGCGCCCCTCCGCCGCCGCCGGCGCCTCGAGGCCTTCCGGGGTAGCCCGGCCCGGGGGCGGCTTTCCAGTCAGGCGGCGCCCCGGACGCCTGTGCTCTTAAAGGAGCCGCGTCCCCGGAGCGAGGGAGCGTCGGCAAACTCCCCCTTCGGGGCGCACGGGCGCACTCGAGAATGCGCCGGCCGGCAGCCGGGGGAGCGGGGCGCCGCCTTCCTCGAGGGCCCCCCGGATGTCCGGCGGGCGCGGCCCCGCGCGCAGGTTCCGGTGGTTTCCTGGGGGCCAGCGGCAGGGCCCGGGGGCCCACGGCCGCTGCGGCCTACGGACGCCCGAGGCCTCGCCGGACGGGGCCCGGCCCCGGAGTCGGGCGTCCTGTGACACCGGCTGCCATTGGCCAGCGCTGGGCGCTGGGCGGGGCTTCCCCTCGATCCGCCCAATGAGCTGACCCCGTACAGAATGCCGACCGCTCCCACGACCGACGGGAGGACTAGCGCCGACGCTCCCTAACCCGGGGTGCGGGGCCGGCGCGCGTGCACGAGGCGCGGCCCCGCGGCAGCCTCGAGCGCGCGCACCGTTGGCCCTCGGGGAGCGCGCGCGGCTCGGCCGGAGCTGCCCCGGGACCCCCGCCTGGAGCGCGTCGCCCCTGCGCGCGGTGGACGCGGCCCCGGGAGGGTCCGGCTGCCCAGCGCCCTGGGGAGGGTCCGCGTCCCCCCGGGGGCGCCGTGCGCGCCTCCTCAGCCGGCCACACCGCAGTGACCCCCAGGCTCCCACAAGCAGCAGCTGAGCCCAGCCAAGCTGCCCAGGGGGCAGATGTGCGCAGGAGCCTGCTGCCCACAAGGGCCGGCGCCCCTTCCCTCCCAGGACCAACCGTGGACACGGCAGGATCCCCGCAGAACCCCAGGTGCAGCTGCCACGACCCTCCGGCGCGCACCCGCCAGCCTTCCCTCCCTCTGACCACCTGAGACGGCCCCCAATTCAGGGCGAGCACCCACTTCCAGACCCTCGGCGCTCCCCACGGGGAGCTGCGGGGCACGAGGAGCCTGTACCTGGCCTGCAGGGTTCAGCCTAGCTCCTTGGCTGCGTGGCGAGGCCCTGCCGTCCGCTGGGAGGGCCTGCTGGGAGCCGGGAGGGCACCCGCGGCCCCGGGTTTAACGAGAGGGTCAGCTGCACCTGTTCCCCCCTCCGGAGGCCACCTGCACACCGGCCGGCTCACCTGAGCTCCCGTCAGCCCTGGCTGGTCCGGGTGCACCTGCTCCACCTGCTCCACGCCCCAGGTGCGCCCTCTCCCATTGAGGGCCTGCAACTGCGCTTGTGCGCTGTTATGGCCACCCAACCCTCGCTCAGGGCGCCAACGCCACAGGACGCTGTGGGCTCCAGGCGTCAGAGACAGCGCTGCACTGCGGAACTGGACCCAGTTGGCCCCGGCTGGACCGTCGGGGCACAGGAGCGCGTCAGGGACATACTGTGGCCTGTGGGTCCCAGGAGCAGGACACACGCGTGGGCATGCAGCCATGGAGCTCCTGCGCTGCGCCGGGCCGGGTGTTGTCCACCGCGCCCAGCAAGCCGCGGAGGCCGGGGCAGCCTTGAGGAGACCGGCAGACCGCAGATGTCTCCGTCCCGGTGCCCGGTGGAAGGTGCAGTGGATGCGCTGGGGAGAGGCTGGTAACTGGTCCGTGTCCACAGCCTGCAGTTGCCCAGGAAGGGTCCCGCGGGGGAAAGGGCGGCCTCGCAGCTGCCCAGTTGCAGGGTGACTGCACCTCCTCATGCCCCCACGGGGTAGCACTGTGCCCAGTCTGGGGGCAACACCTCCCGTGCCCCACACGCGGGGCACAAGCACACTCAGACACACCAACAGCAGAGCTACTGCCCAAGGGCCACAGCTGACCCACTTGCGCCCACCCCCTGAGGAGACACTGAACCCAAAAGGCTTTTGGAGGCTGGGGGGGCACGGGCAGTGTTTGAGGCTCCAGCCTGTCCTGCTGCCCGTAGGAGGCTGGGTGCGCTTAGCCGCCCCCCCCCCCCACCGTGATAAAAGCGCTACTTCTAAAAACACTGACCCTGGATGTCGGCACACTAACCCTCCGTCTGCAGAATCCAACACGGGCACTAGTTCTAGTCCTGACCGCCCCACTTGTGCTCCAGCTCTCTGCTGATGGCTTGGCAACGCAGTGGAGGGCTGTCTGGGCACTTGGCTGTGCGCCCTTGTGGGAGGCCCAGATGAAGGCCCCTAAGCCAGCTTCGGGAGTGTGGCCGCTTGAGGAGTGAACCAGTGGAGGGAAGATCTCTAACTCCTTCAAATAAAAGAACTTTTTGAAAAATTTTACTTACTTGAGACAAACCAGTCGAGATCTCCTCTCCGTGGACATCCAAATGTCCTGTAGCCAGGGCTGGGCCAGGAGCTCTACCCAGGCCCCCGTGTGCCAGGCAGGGATCCTGAATCGCCGTGCCGCATGACTGTCCTGGCCCAGGTGGGCATCCATCGGGTGGGCAGCAGGCTTTGGATTCTGGGCTCCGTTTGCTCTGTGCACATAACCTAAGCCCTTGGCCTTGGACAAGGCTGGGGCATACCCCCAAAACAAGGCTCACCACCCCTTCCTCTGCAGCTCCCGAGGTGACCCCCACCTCAGCTGGGCTCGCGCTGCCTGCAGGGGAAGGCACCCTGTCATACCATCAGTCGCCTGGGGGACACCTCCGACAGTGCCCTGAGCTGGCTGCTCACTGCCCCAGTGGCCATGCTGGGAGGCCTCGCAGGGACGTCCTGCCTGGCAGGGGACGAGGGTGCCGGGGCATCCTCCCTCGCTGACAGCAGGAGTGCAGAGTCCCTGCCCATTCCTTGCTCAGCTGCTCCACGGCTTGAGAGGACACCCCCATTTGTCCAGGCACTCCAGCCCCATGGCCTCCTGCTGCTCCTGGCTTGTATGGGGCGCAAGACTACAGGGCTGGGTTCGTGAAGGTGTCTTCTGATCTCATGAGGGCTCGAGGTGGACTCCACAAGCTGAGCCTCTCCTCTGCCTGCTGGGGACTCCGGAGAGCTGTGCCCCTGTAGGAGGTGTGGGGTCAGTCTAGGCGCTGGGCTGAGAGCCGCATGGAGGGCCCGTGCATGGTCTGTGGTCGGCACACAGCTCCTGCCAGGGGTCTCCAGCAGTGGGTGAAGGCGGGGACACAGGCGTCAGAGCCCAGGCCTGCTCCCTCCAGGAGAGGACCATGCGAAGTGGAGGCTTACAGCTGCCCAGGACCCTGCCCACTGGACAGCCCAGACCGGCTCCAACTGCTGCTGTCCCTCCGACAGGTGTGGGGGAGATGCAATTCCAGGTGGCCGGACGAGGGCGTCCCATGCTATGTGGGATTCCATCTCCCCACTGGACAGCTGCCTGGCCTCCTGCTGACACCCCAAGCCTGGGCAAGCCAGAGCTGCTGTCATCCCTGCACCTGGGATGGTTCTGCGTGGGGGACCCCTCAGGATGGGGCAGGAAGGCAGAAGCAGCCCCCGACAACAGTCCCTCCTCCAACTCAGGATGTAGCCAGCCCCAGCTGCGGGACATGGAGGCCCAGATTTGGGTTACCAGGCAGCCCTGGATGACAGGTGGCCATGCCAGGCCAGTCTCCGTCTGCATGGGGCACACGTGTGAGGGGATCCCTGTTCAGACCCCAGTGGGTTCTCACGGTTGCCCACTGCTTCTCAGGGTGCCTTTCTGCCTGCTGTCCCTGGCCTTCAAGGGGAAATCTGGCCCGTGGTTGGGGAGAGGGGTAGGAACACCATGTTGGCCACACTGGCTGGTGCCTGCTCTGAACTTGGCCAAGGGACCTGCGCATGCTCTGCCGTCTGCACGCAGCCCTTGTTCCCTCCCTGTGGTCGCTGGTATCTGGACCCTGGGCCAGGGGACGGGGGCCCTAAGGCACTGCTGTGACCCTGGGCCCAGCTATCCAGGGCCCGAGGCAGGTGCCAGCCTGACAGGCACAGTGGCCTCTGCTGTCCCACCCCGCCGCAGCTCCAACTCTTCTGACTAGCAGGTAACCTGTCCCCCACTTCCACGGTGTGTCGTCCTGTACTCCAACCCCCAGGACTGCCAGGAGCCAGCGGGGACATTGCCGTGGTGCAGCTGACAGGCCCTGCCACCTCTCCAGCCAGGTCCTGTCTGCCTGCTGGCAGCCTCCACTGACATCTCCCCAGGAACATGGTGCTGTGTGACCGACTGGGGCTACATGAGGGAGGGAGATGAGGCCCCCATTGTCCCACCCCAGGAGACCCGGCCTAGGTGGGAGGAGACCAGGGCACCCCCAAGAGGTCGCCCCAAGTCCGACTCAGCAGGGATCCAGGCCCTGCCTGTGGGTGGGAGTTGGACACACCACTGCCCAACACAGGAGGTGCTGCCGACAACCCCTGACCCCTGCTCACTCCCTCAGAACCCTTGGAACCCCTGAACATACTGCAGGAGGCAGCAGTTTCCATGGTGGAAGCCGAGAGCTGCAGGGACTACCCCAGCCAGGATGGCAGTGTCTTTCAGCCAGATATGCTGTGTGCTGGGAGCCCCAGGGGGCACCTGCCAGGTGAGCCACTGGCGTGGCTAGAACAGTGCAGGCCCTGTGAAGGGTACAGGGTGCCCACTGTCCTCACCCCTCTTTGTCCCTTAGTTCGGAGGGCCTCTGGCTTGCCAGGCTGGTGTGGTGAGCTGGTGTAAGGGCTGTGGCCACCCTGATTGGGCCTGGGGTCTACACCCATGTTCCACCTATGTGGACTGGATCCGCTGACACAACCCTGAGCTGGGGGGACTGGGGCCTGGACTCTCCTTGCCCGGCCTCCCCCTCCTGCTGGCCAAACACTGGCTGCAGGGCCTGGGGCAGCTGCCCCGCCTGCCCACCCCAAGTCTCAGACGCGCAGGTCTTAAATAAGTTACTGTTTATTCTGCTGCGCCCTCCCTCCTGGCCGTGTCGGATTATTGCGAGTTGAACACAGGAAGGGGGCCCGAGACGTGCCCCATCTTATTGCAGGGTCTCACCACTTCCATGAGGCAGGTGATGGCATGGGGGTGCAGGGGTGTGGCAGGGTTTCAGCAGTGAGCGTGAGGTGGTCTCGGGGACTGGGCTCGGGGGTCCCAGCCCGTGCTCCCCCAAGAAAGAGTAGAAGCAGCCCTGGGCCCTCCTCCCTGTGTGTGGGGGGGGTCTCGGTACTTGCCCACAGAGGCTGCTGGCCCGGCCTGGGCCCCCAGCTCCACTGTGCCCACAACAAGTGCCTGCCCCTCCCTGAACTGACTTCTGGCTGGGCCCTCCGCCCGTGGTGGGGCCTCTGCCCCCCTGGGCGCCTGGACCCTGAGTCAAGGTCCTGTGTGTCCCCCACCCTGGCTACGTGGGCTTGCCTGCACCGTCAGTTGGGGGCACCACAAGGTGCAGCCCCCAGGTTGGCTCAGGGGGGTTACCAGGCGCCCCAGATGGGTCTGTCCCATGGGGCTCTAGAGGCACCGTGGCCCCTGGCATCTCGATACAGCCACTACCTGCTGCTGTGTCCAGCGGCTCAAAGGCAAAGCTTGGGACAGTCAGGTGCTCGGGCCGGCCCCGCCGCTCCCCCTTGGCCGTGGGGTCCCCACCCGTGCCTGGACCCTCGCTGGCCGCGGTGGTGGGCTCCAGGCAGTCCCTGTGGGGGGCAGCCTCACAGGACGGGGTCCTGCGCCGCAGGCCACTGCCACCCTCTGTGGCCGGGGGCCGGGCGGCACCCTCCTCTTCGGCCGGCGGGTCTATAGAGATGCAGGGAGGGCTCATCTTCTTCTTCCGGCGAGCCCCCAGGCCTGGCTCTGCCTCTGGGACCCAGGCCCGGCCCTCCCCCGGCTCCGGGCGGCCAGTGTTGCTACCCAGCTCTGCTGATGGCCACCGCTGTCCTTCTGCCTGGCTGGGCTTGTCCAGGAGGCCTGGGGCACCGAGGCTGTGGAACCTGCGCAGGGCCTGCCCGCCAGTCGCTGCCCTGGGGGCCACCGGGGAGGCTGCGACCCAGGGCCGGGCAGAGCTGGTGATGTTGCTGACCTCCTGGTCAGCCAGATCTGAGGCCTCAGCCTCCTCGGTGCCGGGGCCTGGCGGGCGGCTGAGGATGCACTGTCCTGAGGCCTGTTTGTGGGGATGGATGCCGGCTTGCTGTGGGGAGCAGGGTGGGGACCGCAGCGACACTTGCTGGGCAGAGGTCTTCTCCAAGGGTTCCCCAGGGTCTGGGGTGCTGTCCCCAGACCCCTCGGCCTGCCCCTCCAAGGGCTCCACCGGCACGGCCTCCTGTGAGGGTACAGGCCTCAGTGAGCCCAGGGACCTCTCTGTCCTGGGTACTGTGGGGCCTGCACGCTGGAGCAGAGTCCGTGAGAGGTACCGCCTAGATCAGATACTGCCAGGGTGGAATAACCCTCGGGGTGTATAAGGTGCTAGTGGGGGGCCAGGAGCTGGGTGGGGATCCTAGGGTCACCGGGTACCCCCACCCTCGTGGGATGAGGAACCCCAGCTCTGAGCTGCAGGACCGACTTCCCCTACCTGTGTGTAGAGTGGCGGGCCTGGACTAGGAGTGTAGGGCATGGGCCGCGGGGTCGGGGCACAGAGGGGGACACAGGGCTCCGAGGGCAGCGACAGCAAGGTTGCACCGGGACCTGGGGCAGGAGAGCAGCTAAGTGCCACCCCTACCAGCACTGGGCATCCTGTGGCATGCCCGGGTGGTGCCAGGGGCGGGGCCAGGATCTTGAGTGCAGCCCTGCCCCCTCAGGGCATCCTGCAGCATGCTCCTCCCCCGACATCCAGCCTAGCCCGTACCTGGCGAGGTGCCACCCGTGTAGGCAGCCATCTCCACTTCCTGCAGGCGCTGCTGTGGGACTGAGACAGGCGTCACGGGTCGGAACATGTAGCTGTCGTTGGGCAGTGACAGCATCCGGGACACGCACACCTTGCGTGCCACTAGCACATTGGAGGTATCCGGCCTGGGCCCTGCACTTTCCTGGGACAGAGCGGCCATGCGGTCAGTCTGGAGACCCCTCGTGAGCCCCAGGGCCACAGCCCTCCCTGTACACCTCACCTGCACCGTGGGTGCTGGCGGCGTGTCCGGCTCAGTGTCGTCCACGTCGCCATCCTCACGAGCCTCACGGTTGCTCTCCTCCAGGTGCTTCATGAGCACTGCCACCACTACGTTAACCAGGACAAACTGGGCCACCAGCACAAAGGTCACAAAGTAGACAGGAGAGAGTGCAGGCAGGTAGCTGAGGCAGTGCCTGTCCTCACGTGCACACTCACGCAGTGTGTCCTGGGGGGAAAGACCAGCTCAGACCACGCCCAGCAGGGGAGGGATATGGCTCAGACCACACCCACCAGGGGAGGGACATGGCCCAGGCCACACCCACCAGGGGAGGGGCATTACTCAGACCACACCCACCAGGGGGAGGGCAGGGCTCAGACCACACCCACCAGGGGGGAGGTGCAGGGCTAGACCACACCCCCCATGGGAGGAACAGGGCTCAGACCACACCCACCAGGGGAGGGACAGGACTCAGACCACACCCCATTCCCTTCCCCTGCACACAAGTCCACTGTCTCTGGGTACCTTCATGATTCCATTCCAGTTGTCACCAGTGGAAACGCGGAACAACGTAAGGAAGGCCATGCCGAAGTTGGTGAAGGTGGCGTGCCTGCTCAGGCCCTCACAGGGGTTGTCCTCGCTGCACTCTGCAGGGACCAACTGTCAGCCCATGGACGTGCTGAGCCCCCACACTGGTCCCAAGCTGCTGGCTCTTTCCCTCCAGCCCCCGGGCCCAGCTTTTGTCAGGAGTGGCCAGAGACCCTTAGGACGGGCACGGTGTGTCCTGGGGACGCATGGCCTCATGGCCCAGCGACACTGCTTGGCACGGACACGCCCATGGGGTGGCCACACGACTCACCTAGCCTCCCGAACAGCTCCACGCCCAGAGCCGCGTAGATGAAGAACAGGAGCATGAAGAGGAGGCCCAGGTTGCCCACCTGAGGAGGAGGCTCAGCCATTTCCAGCTGGACACGACGGCCCTCACTCCCACCCTCAGCCCCAGGCCTTCCTGTCCTCGGGCTCCCAAGACTGAGGCCAGCCAACGGGTGCCCCACCAGTATTTGGAATGGCACTCCAGTAGCTCGACAGACAGGGCAACACTGGCCAGAGGCCATGGACTAGCAGTAGATGGTGCCGTTCCCAGCTCTTCCTGCTCAGTGCCCACCCCTGCCCGCCAGGGCCCCACCCACCTGGGGCAGGGCTTGCACCACTGTGTCCAGCAGGGCCCGCATGCCCGTGGCCATCTTCAGAAGCTTCAGCACTGCGGCCGAGAGTTGAGCATTAGTGGGGCCAGGGTGGGGCTGTGCCGGCTCCCCACGCCTGACCCAGGAGTGAGGGCACCTACCGCGGGCAATGCGTAGGACACGCATGATGCGGATGATGGTGGGGTTGATGGGCAGGGCCGCACTCGTCTCGATCTCCTCCAGCGCTATGCCCATGATGGAGAGCAGCACGATAGCAAGGTCTAGCTGGTTCCACCTGTGCATGTGGCAACACTGAGTACAGCCTATAACCTGCTGGGAGTCCTCCCCCTGCCCCCACCCAAATTCCAGGGGCTGCCCCATGCTCACAGCCCCGCCCACACCTGTCCTTGAAGAACCTCCGGAACCCAAAAGCCACCAACTTCAGCACAGCCTCGAAGACGAAGACGATGGTGAAGACATAGTTGCAGTACTTGAGGGCCTCGTCCAGCGACTGAGGGTGGACGGTCAGGCTGGCGGCGCGGCCCCACGCCTGGGGGCTGCCCCACCTTGCCCATCCCCACGGGCCTCGTCCAGTGACTGAGGGTGGACGGTCAGGCTGGCGGCGCGGCCCCACGCCTGGGGGCTGCCCCACCTTGCCCATCCCCACGGGCCTCGTCCAGTGACTGAGGGTGGACGGTCAGGCTGGCGGAGCGGCCCCACGCCTGGGGGCTGTCCCACCTTGCCCATCCCCACGGGCCTCGCCACCCACCTTGGGCTGGTTGTAGTGCTCCATGGACATGGTGATGACATTGACGCCGATGATGAAGGTGATGAAGAGGTCCAGGTAGTGGCTGGTGCACAGCGCATGCACGGAGCGCCGGGTGTGCGAGTAGTCGGCGTAGTAGGGCCGGCGCTGGGCCTCTGCAGGGGGAGGACGCGTTGAACCACTAGGGCAGGGGCCATGTCTGTCATCCCCTCCCGGGAGGGTCAGGGCTGTTCTGGGCAGCTCACAGTTTGGGTGAAGGGACAGGCTCCAACAGGGCCTGTGCTAGGGGAGACATGGCTGGCAAACCACAGACCAGCTTGTTCCTGGCCCCAGGCGGCCGAGGCGGCTTCCCTACACCCAAGTCCCTACCCAGGCAGGGACAGCACAGACTCTTTGCCGGGCCTGGACTTAGAAACCCGGATGGACAGGGCTGGGCAGGAGCATGGGCAGCTCCACCCGAGTGAGGGTCCCATAGGCCCCTGGCCACGCTTTGGTCAGCAGGTCCAGCAGCGCCCCCAACCAATCCACCACCGTCATCATTTGAGGGGCCATCCTGCAGTTTCTGGGCCCTGGCCCACAGGGATGGGCTCACCCCCAAGCACGCCCCCCAGGCTTGCCCCTCAAGCGCTTGCCTCCCCCAGGAGCCTGGAGGACGGCCCCTACCCCTGCCCTTCCTCCTCCCAGCCAACATGCAGGTGCCAGCGCCTGGTGGCCGGGCAGCACAAGCAGCCCCAGGCCTGCGGGCAGAGCACACACAGGGCACGGGCGGCAGTGTGGACCCCTGCTGGGCGGCCACAGCCTTTATCCTGCCCAGGACCTCTGCCGGGCCGGCTCCCTGCCCCCATGCAGCAGCAGCGCAGGGCGGAGGCGACGGGCTGAGGCATGCATGCGGGGCGGGCAGGTACCTGGGCTGGGGTAGGTGCCTGAAAAGATAAGGACACACCTGAGTGGCTGCAGAGGGGACACCGGACGGCCCTGGGCAGAGGCCCTCCCGCCCTGAGGTGGCACGTGCGCAGCCAGGTGGCACGTGCAGTGCAGAGCCACCAGGGAGGGGAGCTGGGCCTGGCAGGCTGCCCCTGCCCCACAGGCGTCTTACTCCTGCGCTGTTTCTCCAGGTGTCGCCGCCGCTTCTCCTCGCGCCGGCGCGCCTCCTCGGCCTCCTGGTGCTGCCGGCACTTGTGGAAGTTCTCCACCACCACGCCCACGAACATGTTGAGCACGAAGAAGCTGACGATGAGCAGGAAGGAGATGAAGTACAGCAGCATCCAGGGGTTGTGATTCTGCACGGGCTGCGGCACAGGAGGGGCTGGGGCCCGTGGAGCAGCTAGCCCAGCCCGCCTGAGCCCACCCAGACAGGGCAGGCTGCCCAAGTCTACCCGCTGGTTCCCAATCCCAAATAGAGTAGCACCCTCCTGTGCCCACCTGCTGGTCCCCAATCCCCCAGCACCCACCCGTGCCCACCTGCTGGTCCCCAACCCCCCAGCACCCACCCGTGCCCACCTGCTGGTCCCCAACCCCCCAGCACCCACCCGTGCCCACCTGCTGGTCCACTCCCACAGCACCCACCCGTGCCCACCTGCTGGTCCCCAGTCCCCCAGCACCCACCCGTGCCCACCTGCTGGTCCCCAATCCCCCAGCACCCACCCGTGCCCACCTGCTGGTCCCCAACCCCCCAGCACCCACCCGTGCCCACCTGCTGGTCCCCAATCCCCCAGCACCCACGCGTGCCCACCTGCTGGTCCCCAACCCCCCAGCACCCACCCGTGCCCACCTGCTGGTCCCCAATCCCCCAGCACCCACGCGTGCCCACCTGCTGGTCCCCAACCCCCCAGCACCCACCCGTGCCCACCTGCTGGTCCCCAACCCCCCAGCACCCACCCGTGCCCACCTGCTGGTCCCCAACCCCCCAGCACCCACCCGTGCCCACCTGCTGGTCCACTCCCACAGCATCCAGTCCGTCATACATGATGTTCACCCAGCCGTCTTTGGACGACAGCACAAACAATGACATCAGCGCCTACGGGGAGCGGTGGGTCGGGGCGGAGGTGATGTTGTGTCCTGGCTGACAACATGGCCCCCCAGCGGTGGCCAATCTCATGAGATGGCAGTGCAGTGCCCGATGCCCACCTGACCCAGGTTGTCGAAGTTGTACTTGCGCCGCACCCAGCGATAATGGGCAGCCCGGCACTCGGCCTTGGTGGAGATATTCCTTGTGTCGGCGCCGTCACAGTAGTAGAACTTGCCCTTGAAGAGCTGAGCAGAGGGGGCAGGGGAGTGACTGTAGGCCTGGCCCGAGTGTCACCCCAGGACCACCCCGGGAGGGCACACACCTGCACCCCGAGGCCCGGCCCGAGTGCCCCTTCCCAGGTCCACCCCGGGCGGGCACACACCTGCACCCCGAGGCCCGGCCCGAGTGCCCCTTCCCAGGTCCACCCCGGGCGGGCACACACCTGCACCCCGAGGATGCCAAAGATGATGAAGAAGGCGCAGCAGATGAGCACGATGTTCCCGATGGGCCTCAGGGAGGAGATGAGCGTCTCCACCACCAGCTTGAGGCCTGGGGCCCGGCTGATGACCCTGGGTGCGGGCAGAGGGGCGCGCTGCTCAGTCTGGCTGCAGCACGTGACCCCCACCTCAGCAGCCTGGAGCCCGCAGCAGACGCCCCCACCTCAGTGGCCGCAGGGTCCGCAGTAGGCGCAGCACACGCAAGATGCCCAGGATCTTGGCGCCGCTGGCTGAGGCCATGGCCACGATAATGTCGACAAGCGATACCAGGACCAGCAGCCCGTCCAGCAGGTTCCAGCTGCTCTGCAGGTAGGCGTGCTCCCCGGCCAGCAGGCCCCGTGCCACCACCTGGGGGCAGCAGGGCAGTGCTGGGGCCGGGCCGGGCCAGGCTGACCCCGGGGGATCCTGCCTGGGGCACTCACCTTCACCATCATTTCAGCCAGGAAGATGGCCGTGAAGACGTAGTTGGAGACGCTGAGGAAGACACGCTCCTGCAGGGAGAGGGCAGTGGGCAGGGCTGCACAGCCCTCCGAGCCGGGCGGGGTGCGAGGGGCCACTCACAGTGCTGCCTGGGTCGATGTCCGGCCTCTCCAGGGCGATGGTAATGCAGTTGAGGAAGATGAAAGCCAGCACCACGTGGTCAAACAGTCTGTGCGCCACGATCCTCTGGCAGCAGACACGGAACCTGGCCGCCGGGCAGCTCAGCGGGGTGTCCCAGGCCACCCCTCCACCCCCGGGGAAGGCCCACCCCCACCTCGGCCGGATGACGGGCCCCTCACCGGTTCTGCGGGGAGAAGAGGTAGAGCGCCCAGGACTCACGGCTGTGACACCACTGGGGCCGGTAGGGCTCCAGCACCTTGCGCAGCCGGAAGCAGCAGCTCTGAGAGGGCAGGGACAGCAGGCCTCAGCTGTGGCCCGGCCTGGCAGCCGAGAGGACACCCCGGGGCCTGGGGGAGCTGACCAGCCTGGGGCCCGGCACGGCTGGAGCACGCAGGGCAGCGGTATGGGGTGCTCTCTGGCCTGCCCACTCACGTCCCCCACGTCCTCGTCCAGCTCGGCCGGGTCCTCCCTGTGGCTGTCGATGCGCAGGAAGATCTCGCTGGGCAGGGCCAGCGTCTGCCCGTTGCAGTCACGGAGCTTGGTGGGCAGGAGGTTGGGCGGGGAGCGCGGGTCCAGGGATTCGGTGCGACGCAGAGTGGGGCTGTGAGGGCCCGGCATGGCCCCCGCACCCCCCGGCCGGCCGTCCTCCTCGTCGTCGGTGCTGCCCTTGCCCTCGCCCGACAGCAGCGACTCCCGCTCCCCGCGCTGGCCGCGCCGCTTGAGGCTGCTCCGGCTTGAACGCCGGCTGCTCCAGGCGCTGCTGGGGCCCCAGTGGGTGCAGGGCGAGCCGCGGAGGCTGGTCTGCGGGAGGGCGAGGGGAAGGTCCCGGGTATGCGTGGGGCCAAGCAGGCTGGAGCCCCAGAGCCAGCACCCGGAGAACCTGCCCTCCCGGGGCCCACCTCAGGCAGAGCTGGTGGCCGCTGGGCTGCCCGCAGCAGGGCCTCCTAGCTCCTCCCAGCCATGCCATCTCCTTCCACTGCTCCTGGCTCACATCTCTTGCTGGTGTCTGGATCCAGTGCTCCCACCATGACCCCTCACACCTGTACCCCTTGGCTCTTCCTGCTGTCCCCTCCCCGGCCGGGGCCTCCTGCTGAGGCTTTCATGGGGATTAGCTGCACGACCAATGGCTCCCCTTGGGGGAGTGGGACCCTCACTCAGCTTGGGGGTCTCACATGCCAGGGGCAGGTCCCCACCTACCAGAGACCGCTGATCGCCCAGCTGGGGGTCCACAGAGCAGCTGCTGCTGCGCCGGGAGTCAGGGAGGTCACGCATGGTGTCCAGCTGTGGGGAGCCCTTGGGGGAAGGGGTGGCTGCTGTGCGCAGGATGAGTGGGGGCAGCAGGCCACTGCGGCCCTCCAGGTGCCCATTGGGGGTCACAGCCAGCGAGCACAGCTTCATCTCTATGGGGGACGAGAACCTGTGAGCCTCCAGGACTCGGGGCCCCTCCAATCCCCGCCCACCACGCGCACACCTGTGGGCTGAAGGTCTCTGAACTTGTTAGAATCTTCTTCAAAGCGGGTGGAGGTCTTGTCCTCGTCCGTGTCTGACCTGTTGGCATCACCCTGAGAGCGTGGCAGGAAGAAGGGTATGAGGGCCATGGCGTGAGGGCCCAGGTGGGGGTGGGAGCAGGGGAGGGCCCAGCCTGTACCCCACCCCCGACGCCTGGGCCGGACCTCACCTCAGCCTGGAAGCCCTCCACCAGGATGGCCACCAGCAGGTTAAAGAGCACGTAGTTGCCGAAGGTCATGAGGGCCACGAAGTAGAGGGCGGCCCAGGAGGAGGTGGAGGCCATGCCGTTGTAGAGGACGACGTTCCAATCCTCCTGGGTGAGGATCTGGGGGCACCTGGGGTTCAGGCTGTGCCTGGCCATGTGGCCCCGCAGGCCCCGACCACTCCTAGTCTCCACTGATGCCCCGGCCCCGCCTACCTGGAACACAGTGACGATGGCCCACAGCAGGGAGTCGAAGTTTTTCCTGTCAGGGACCGTGTCGCCGCTGTCCGTTTTGAGGCTGAACTTACATCCGAACAGGTGCATTCCCAGGATGCTGTGGGGCGGGGTGGGGGGGCAGGCTGGGCAGAGGGCACGCCGACACGCTGCCCGGGGGCCCGCCGACACGCTGCCCGGGCTCCCGCCCCCAGCCGGGCCCCCGCCCACCTGAAGATGAAGATGAAGAGCATGAGCAGCATGCAGAAGGTGGCCACGTTGTCCATGGTCTTCATGAGCACCACAAGCTGCCGTCGCAGCGCCGGCAGGAAACGCACCAGCTTCAGCACCCGCAGCAGCCGGAAGGTCCGCAGCACCGACAGCCCGCCGTCCGCCTGCCCCACGATCTCCCACACGCTGCCGGCCGGCGTGCAGTCAGCAGGGCCGACCCGGCCCCCACCCCCCGCACGCGCAGCCAGGTGCGGCTCCCACCCACCTGATGACCACGATGACTCCGTCGAAGATGTTGTAGGGGCTGCGGACGTAGCCCAGCGGGCCGCAGGCCAGCAGCTTGAGCAGCATCTCCAAGGCGAACACGCTGGTAAACACCACGTTGCTGATCTCCAAGGCGTTGGTCAGCTCCTCGGGCTGCGGGGGCAGGGCCACGTCAGGGCCAGCCCACAGAGGCCCTTCGAGCCGGGGGGGCGGGGGCTGCTGCCAGACTCCCAGGCCCTGCAGGGACTCAGACATCCACAGGGCATGCAGCTGGCCCGGCCTGCATGTGGCCACAGTGTGTCCCTGTGTGACCTGTGGATATGTACACGTGAGCACGCCTGCTGGGCGTGACTGCCAACGCACAAACCCACGTGTCTTCTGACTGGCAGGTGCAAAGGCAGGTCTGTGAGCACACACGAAGCTGTCACCAAGGCCACACCATGACACACAGGGACACGGCCCAGTCTGTACCCACACACCCCCTCCCCATGCACTCCCATGTTGGCTCCATGAGCAAGGCACAGCCTCGGTGAGGGCAGAGCTGGGCACCCCTGCTCCCTACAAGGAGCAGGGCCTGGGAAAGGGCCGGGGGGGGGGGGAGGCGGAGCACCCCGCCCACCTGCTCATGGTACTCCACGCCCATGCTGAGCGTGTTCACCAGGATGGCCACCATGATGCCGCGGCTGAAGTACTTGCTGTCCACAATGCGACGCAGTTTCCCGCTGAGAGCAGCCCACAGCCGGCCCAGCCCGCCCAGCGGTGCCCCCGGGGCTGCCTTCCGCGGGCTGGCCTCAGCGGCAGCGGGTGCCTGCATGGGATCCCGACAGTCGCCGTGTCGCACGTCCTGCGTGAACTCATAGACCCCATGGATGTCTGAGTCGCCACCCTCAGAGCCAGCCTCTTCCCGGGCACGGGCACAGTGCGGGCAGTCTTTCAGCTCACAGGTCAGCGTGCCCGCCTGGGGGCCAGGCAGCGGGCAGGGCACACTCAGGCCCGACAGGCGGCCAGGGGCCCTGCCCAGTCCTGCAGGGAGACAGACAGACAGGCTCAGGGCCTCTGCCGACATGGGCTGAACTTACAAGGGTCCTGGGCGTGGAAGGGCACTGCCAGTGGGATGCCACCTCTCCAGGTACAGGGAACACATCATGCTGGAGCCAGGACAGACACATGGAAGCCCCTGGAATGCCTTCGCGTCCCAGGAGCGACCGTCCGCCTTCTCCAACCACAGTCCTGTTTTCACCCCAAGGGCAGAAGAGCTGGTGCCAAGGCCCGCAGCTGGGGCTGGCTGTGGTGCTGCTCCCACACAGAGCCACCCAGTGCACACCCTGGCTCACACCCTGCCCCTCTGCAGCCCACCCACCTGGCCTCTGCAGGCCAGCGCCTCACCGTGTTCGCCTACCACGTGCTGGATTCGCTCGTAGGGGCCAGGACCACCCAGGCTCAGGGGGCTGTGTGCTTGCTTCCCCGAGGGCCGGGGGCTGCTGTTGCCCTTGCTGCCGCCAAGGCCAGAGGGCAGGATCGTGGGGTAGTTCATGGCCCGTAGCCCTGAGGCCAGCCTGAGGCCAGCAGCGGCCGCAGCTGCATGGGCCACTCGGGCCCTGTCTTGCGGCCCTTCCACGTGGCAGTCGGCATGGTAGATGCTGTGCACGGACTCGGCGTCTGGGGGCCCACGGCCCGGTGAGGGTGGGGAGCCGGCTGGCACCAGCCTAGAGTCAGCAGTGCCCGCCTCAGGGCCCGGCCGGCGAGGGCTGCCATGGCTGAAGTGATAGTGATGGTGGTGGTGGTGGTGGTGGTGGTAGACCAAGTGGTGCACAGAGGCCGCCCGCCGGCCTGCCCGGCGTGGGCCCTGGCCGGGTGGAGCACTGCTGGACTCTGTCTGCGTGTGCCAGCGGCTCTGCCAGCGGGTGTAGAGGCGCAGGCCACGGCGCCGGACCTTGCGGCACACATGGCCCAGGTACCTGAGCAGCTCCTCGTAGCAGCTGCCTGGCTCCGAGAAGCTGGCCAGCGTGCTGTCGTTGGACAGGTAGCGGGCCCGCTGTTCCCGCATCAGCTGGTTCTCCCGCTGCTTCGTCTCTGAGAACTGAGTGGCGATGACCACCAGGCACAGGTTGATCATGAAGAAGGAGCCCACCTGCAGAGGCGGGCAGTGTCCATGAGGCCCCGCCCCATCAAGGATACTCAGGGCGGGGTCGCAAGGGTGACCCCCGGGGCTGGGGGCAGGCAGCAGAGGTGTCCCAGGCCACTGCGGGGCAGTTGAAGTCGGGACGCCTAGCCACGCTCTCCCCTTGTCCCAGGCCTCCGCAGGCTGTCAGCCAGTGCCCACCCCCTGCGGCACCCCGGTGGCACCTGGCACGCTGAGGTGGATGCCTGACTGGCCCTCCCCCGCCGACCCCAGCACACTCACAATGATGAGCAGGATGAAGTAGATGAAGTTGTAGAAGGAATGGGCATCCATGACGTAGTACATGATGTCCACCCAGCCCTCCAGTGTGATGACCTGCAGAGAGGAGCCGCTGGGTGAGCCTGCACTGCCCGGGTGTGCCCGCCCCGCCCGCCAGGCCCACCTGGAAGATGGCGATCCAGGCGTAGCCGATGTTGTCGAAGTTGATGGCCCCGTTGTGCGGGTTCGTGTCGCCGGAGCGGCACACGTTGTAGTACTGGTTCCAGTTGATGCAGGCGCTGTGGCCGCCCGTGGCTTCGGCCTGCGGCTGACCGTAGGCCTCCCAGCCCAGCGTGCAGGGCACGCGCAGCTCGCGGCGGCTGGGGATGTGCGAGCACTTCTGCATTCCGTTGTCACGGCGGGAGGAGCAGATGAAGGGGTGCTCCTCGCCCTCCTCCGTCTGGTAGTAGGGCCGCAGGAAGCTCAGGTTGTTGTTTCTGGGGAGACGGTGGGTGGGTCCTCCCTGAGTCTGAGACCCCTGGACCTCTGAGGTCGCTGCGCTGCCCCTGAACCCTCCCCAGCCAGCCAGAGGGGCTGCTGAGGAAACACATCACCTGCTGGGGTCCCTTCCCCACCCCAAAACCTGTGACCCAGGGAGGCTGCAGGTCAGGGGATAGCCTGTGGGCCGGGCCTGGCCGAGGGGTGGAGCTTCCCCGGGCGGGGCTGCGAGGAAGGGCGGGCCGGGTGTGGAGGAGCCCACACCTGACGAAGGCGCTGTCCAGGAAGCACCGGTTGCGGAGCAGGCCAGCCCAGAGCTGGACGCCCACAATGCCGAAAATGAAGAAGACGAAGAAGCAGAGCAAGAGCACGTTGCCAAGCATGGGCAGTGTGTCCAGCAGCAGCGTGACCAGGATCCGCATGCCTGCGGGCAACAAGACAACAGACCCTAACCCCTGCCCAGCGCTCCCTGGCAGGACGGGGCCTGAGCGGGCCTGAGCACAGCGCACAGCGCACAGAGCTGGGCATTGGCTGTCTGGGCTCCGCTGAGGCCTGCTCAGGGTACCCGCCGTGTCCGGGGCTGCCGGTGGCACTCCTGACCCTGTGGCTCAGGTGGTCATGGGACCACGTGACGAGTGAGATGCCACGCGGGGTAGATGGCACAGCGGTCAGTGGGATCCTGGAGGAGTGGGTGGTCTTGTCTGGGGCTGCAGCACAGGCTGCCGGGCCACCTTGGCCACCTTGGTGTGGCTGGGCTAGGACCACCACGCTCCAAAGATCACATGGCATCTGGGTGCCCCCAGGGGAAGCCGCGCCTGGCGGCTTCTCTGCAGCTCCAGGCTCACTTACTGGGCACACGGTTGATGGCACGCAGCGGCCTCAGCACGCGCACGGTGCGGATGGCCGAGAGGCTCACGTTGTGTCCGTCCAGGGAGTACTCCATCATGCTGGGGGAGGTGGAGGGTCAGCGGGTGCCAGGTACCCCGGGGGCCCCCTCCAGGCCTGGGACAGCGCCCCCCACTGCTGTACCCGGCCATGACAATGAAGAAGTCCAGCCGGTTCCAAGTGTCACCCAGGTAGCACTTTTGGCCAAACAGTCCCAGGGCGACCATCTTGACGGCCATCTCCACCGCGAAGAAGGCAAAGATGAAGTCGTCGAAGGCCTGGCGGGGGCAGGGGGCAGGATGGGGAACTGGGGCCTTGCCTCCCCACCCCCTCACCCCCTGCCCCTGTCCAGGGCCCTAGCCCACCTCCAGGATGCGGCAGCGCTCCGAGCGGCAGTCCAGGTCCTCACAGGGCCGGAACATGCCCAGGGTCACGCAGTTGAGCAGGATGACCAGCATGCTGACATGCTCGAACCACGTGCAGGAGGGTTAAGGGTCACACCGCCAATGGGACCCACCCTTGGCCCTGCCCAGCCTAGGGTCACTGCGCTGAGCCTCGACAAGGCAGCCACCAGGTGGCGCTGAGGCCCTGCACCGGCCCTCGCCTGATGCACGCTCCCGGTGGGCTTGGAGCTTTGCCCATCACAACCCCAGCCCTTGGGGCTCTTGGGCTGCCTGGGAAGCTGTGGGGCTGCCTCCTGGTCCCCTCTCCAAACCGTTGGTGGACGGTGGTCGGCGAGGGCTGGGGGAGGTTCCGGGTGCCTCAGCCCACACACACATCCTGGCCTCTGGGAGGCAGCCCTGATTCCACCAAGAACCAGGTCCACGGCCAGCTTCTGCACCCCTGCTCACCCCAGCCCAGGGCCTCACGGCCAAGGGAGGCCACTCCAGACTGCACGGTTCATGTCCCTTCACAGTCCCTGCCAAACACCCACTCCGGGGACTCCACCCTCCCTGCCACCAGGGCCTGGGGGAACACAGGGCAGCACTGCAGCAGCGACCCTGGGAGGGGGCGCCAGGAGCCCTGGGTACCCCTTCCCACACAGCCCGTGGGGTCACACCTCGTGGGCAGATGACAGGCGGTGCCATCTGCCCCTGTGCACACAGCCTGCCGGCTTCCGGAGGCTTAATCAACACGCGGATTTTCCGGGTTTTAATTAAAATCCCTTCAGCTTGTGAAGCAACATCCACAAATTGGAATCAATTTTCACTGCAGGAAGGAGGAAGGCAGGGGCACCAGTTCCAAGGTCGGGAGAGCCCCACCAGCCCTGGCCTGGCCCAGGCTTCTGCCAGCCTCTCTTCCCACACGAACATCCTGGCCCCCTAGGCCTGGGCCTGGCTGCTCCTGTCCCATCCAGGCAGGTGTGGCATGAGACCCAAGATACAGGGACACAGGGAGGGGGTGGGGTCACCAGAAGGGAACCCCCACTCCTGGTGAACTCCACACTCAAAAGGCTGCCCTGGTCTCCGCTTATGCATTCCGACAGACCTGGCAGCCCAGCCCCCTGCCCAGCCTTCTGGGAGGGGGTACCACTGGGCTCCTGTGGCAGGAAGCACCCATCTCCCAGGGCCCAAGCCCACAAGGACCCCCAGGCCTCCTAGGCCACAACTCCAGTGGGACTCTGTCCCTAACAGGCCAGGAGGAAGGGGTGGCTGCTGTCCACGGTGCTGAAGTGACCGCCCCCCACCCCCCACCCCGGGGTCCGTCCAGGGGTGCTGGGGGCCTGAAGGGGAACACCAAGCCCAGCCAGGAGTGCTCCCCAGTGGAAGGATCCCCACACACCCATCAGACTGCCCCCAGAGCCCTGTGTGCTGGGGTGCAGATCCGCCTCCGTCACCTCTACACTGAGCATGCCTGACACCTGGGACAGTGGCTGTGGCCTCCATGGGACAGGGCACGGGTCCTCAGACCCAGGCAGGCAGCCAAGTATGGCCAACAGCTAGCACGCAGGTGGTGGCTGAGCCTGCTCCATGAGGATCTTTGCTGGGTAAATCCGCCCCCAGCCCCAAGGGTAGCCCCAGGACTGCCACCCACCAGCCCTTCCTAGTTGCTTGGGGGTCCCATGGCTGCAGGAGACACAGCAGGAGGGCAGTGGGTGCCCCCATGCACCCTGGCCCTTGGTTGTTGGGTCCCAAATTAAATCCTAGAGGGACCCCCAAGAACAGCTGCAGCCCCTAGATCAGTCACTTAATGGGGTCCCTGAGGCCACAGTCAGGGGAGGACAGACCACCCTAGACTCCAGCAGCAAGAGGGCCAGGTGAGCCCCTCCCAGGAGACCAGGGCCATGGAGGTTGGCGCTATGGCATGGTGGGTTAAGCTGCAGCTCGTGGCATCCCACATGAGTACAGGCTTGAGTCCTGCCTGCTCCACTTCCATCCCAGCTCCCTGCTAATGTGTCTGGGAAAGCAGCAGAGGATGCCCCAGTGCTTTGGCCCCTGCACCCATGTGGGAGACCCAGGAGAAGCTCTTGGCTCCTGGATCTGGACCATCCCAGTTCTAGCTACTGTGGCTGTCTGGGCAGTGAACCAACAGATGAAAGATCTCACCGACTTTCAAGTAAATAAATAAATCTTAAGTTAAAAAAATTCAGATGACAAAAGACCCCTCAGCCATTGGGCAGTGTCTGCCCAGGATGCTTGCTGGTCCCCAAGCCTAACCCTACCCACTCACTCCTGAACACCCATTCATACCTGGCCTACCGCTCCATGGAGGGGACCCCCCAGCACCCCACGACCTGGTCTCCAAGCACTGTCCTCACTCCTCTCCTGGGGACTGCCACAGCATCAGCTGCTTCCAACCCCATGCGGTGTCAGTGCCTGGAAAACATCCAGGACATGGCTGCTGGTATGCCTTCAGCCGGGCACCCTGCCCCATGCCTGCAGCAAACCTGGGACCACACCAAGCAGGCGGGCACAGGAGCTTGTTGGGAAGAGGGCCCGGCTCCTGGCGGCCTGGCTGGGCACCTGCTCAGGAGGCTCCAAAGAGATATAGGGCCAAGAGTCCCCCAGAAAGGGGCTGCCAGGGGATGGGGTCACTACCTCCAGATGGACCCAGCTGTCACCATGACAACAAGCTACTGACCAGGCAAGGCCCAGACATCACAGCCACTGGGAGTCACACAGGGGATGCCACCGTGCTTGGGCGTTGGGGGAGTGACAGTTGTTGGGATGGATACGGCGTGAGGCCTTAGGAGCCCCCACCTGCATCTGACTCCACAAGAACTACCCTGGCTGGACGGGAACCAGCACCCTGAGGCAGGAGCAGGACCCTGTGTTAGCCGCGAGGAGCCCAGCAGCCCGGCCTCCCTGCCCTGCCTACCCTGCAAGTTGGAGTCCTCTCCCTGCCGGCCAGGCGGGGGGCGGGACCCAGGCCCATGACTCACTCAGCCCAGCTCGCCAGCAGGGAGGGAGGCGGCCGGCCATACATGGAGCTGTTTGTCCTGCAGCCGCATCCATGGGGGCGCAGGCGGAGGAAGAGGCTGTCCCACAGAGCTTGCTCGCCGTTGGGGTCGGGGGTGCTGGGGGCCTACTCCCTTCTGTGGCCAGTCCTGGCTCACCCAGGGACATAGCACTACCCCCAAGTGCACATTCAGAACATTCCAGAGCTCTCCTGCTCATCCCGAGCTTCTCTCCTGGGCCGGAGGCCTGCAAGACTGGAGCCCAGGAGTGTGTCTGCCCACCTGGCCAGAGCTCCTGTGGAGGGCTGCTGCTTTTGTCCAGTCCTGTCCATGCCCACCTGCCCGGGTGTCAGGAGGCGGGCAGCCCCTCTTGACACCGACCAGCAGCCAGGTCCGAACATGGGGCGAGGGCTATGCGGGGTACACACCAGACACACACACACACACACACCTTGCAATCTGGCAGTGGGTAGGAGGGTGCCACAGCCTACTCGGGGACATTGAAGCACTGCCCACAGGCGCCACAGGCTGCTCCTGCCTCTCGCCCCTGGAGTGCATACCGTGCTGACGTCTGCTGGGCTCTGACCGGTGGCTCGTTTCCACCCTGAAGGATCTGGTACCAGCTCGGTGGTCACTCTCCCTGCAGGAGACCTCACCAGGCCCCAACAGCCACTCAGTGGCAGTGTGCAGCAACGCCAGCAAGGATGGGGTCCGTAGCCCCGGGCCCTCCCTTATTCTCAGGCCCCATCTCCACACTGGAGTTCCGGCCAGTGGTGCAACGAGCACCAGGAAAGGAATCTACCACAGACCAGTTCCCCCCAGACTAACCCCCAAAAACATCTCCACTCCCAAACCAGCTCCGGCCTGGCAAACAGCAAGTTCTCCACACCCCTGCCCAACTGAGTCCCCCCAGCCACACCCCAGGGTGGCCCTGGGAGGCAACGACGTTGGCAGATGGCTCAGAGTCAGGAGGGGACCCTAGGGAGGGCGGGCTCCCAGTGGGGACAGGCCTGGGGCCCGCGGGCTGGAATTCTCCGGACCAGAAATAACTGCGCAGCTGCCCAAGGCCAGAATTAGCGGCCCCAGGGGGCCAGGGAGGCTCTTTCCATGGGAACGCGGCCTGCAGTTCCCCACACCAGCCCCGCCAGGCTGCCCAGGCTGGGACGGGGTGACCTCTTAGGTGTAGACACCCCCACCTCCAACAGCATGCATTCAGGGCCACGTTGGCCAGGGTGGGAGTCCAGGGATTTGAGCTGACCACAGGCTGACGTCAGCAGAGGGTGGGGTATTCACACAGTCCAGCAGATGTGTGGGGGTGCACCTCAGGGCTCCCCCTCATTCCATTCCCCCTCCCTCTGCAGCTCACTCTGGCTCAAGTTCTACCTGTCTGGTAGCCTATTCCTGCCACCCCTCTCCCCAGGGGCCACAAGGGGCACCCCCGCTCCAGCAACCCTCCTCCAGACCCAGAGCTGTGACTCCTTGTCACAGGGCAGCCTGGAAGTGCGGCCACCAGCAGTGACCCCTCCCCCCGGCAGGGAGCCCCCGTGGGGGCCTAGCTCCTCCTGCCTTGCCCCCTGGAAGTAGGGTCCTCCAACCAACCTGTCCCTCTCCTCTGCCCTCGGCTGACCACCCACATCCAGCCCAGGCTGGGACATGTGGCACCTCCTGGTGCAAACACACAGCATTTGTGGACACCCAACACATAGCCCAGGGCTTGACCGCATTCCCTTGCCCCGGGCTCTGCCTGCAATGGGTGTTTACTAAAAGAGAAGAAAAGAACCCAGCTCTGGCCAGGTCAGCCAGGCCCGGGGGGGCACAGCCCATCCCTGTCCAGACAAAGGAAAAAACAAAGACCACCCCTATGCCCACCTGCGCGAGTGCACACACAGGTGCAGCCAGGAGGAGGCGGGGAGGAGTCTGCGCGTGGCACACGGGGCTGGGGCCTCAGGCCAGGCCTCCCCACTGCACAGTGGCCGCTGGCCCCCCACCCTCCCTCAGGCACTCCCATCTTTCCAGGGCCTGGGCTGCCTCTACTGGCCTTGTCTGTAGTAAGCCATTTGTGAGGACCCAAAGGGGATGG